GTGTATGTGTGTGTATGTGTGTGTATGTGTGTATGTGTGCATAGATCAAAAGTGGATGTCAGATAAATGGAAGTGAAATTGAAGAGTATGTTTAAGCGTGTCATACTTTCTATTTCTCTACTCTCTTCTCTTATTCTCACTTCTACTTCTTTTTTCTGAATCTCAGTATTTTTAAATTCTTTCTTGTACTTTTTTCGTTTTTGTTTGCTTTTTTGTTCCAAAAATTTTACTATTTTTTCCTTTCTTTTTCCCCCTTTTTTCTTCAATGTTTCTTATCAAAATAATATGCTAAATTTTCTTGTCCATTTCACATTTCAACATTGTTGATAGTATGAGGTAATCTATTTTGCATTTTTAAAAGGATACAAATAGACTTGTAATCGATTAAGGCATTTGAAAAATTTAGCAAGTAGGAAAATAAGTATCCTAGCCTAGCTAGGCTCACTTAATTTCATCCCATTCCCTGTTCCTAATGATCTCTTGCTGAGATCATAAATTGAAAGTTTTTTGATGTATTTGTGTACTTTTGGATGTTATTAAGCTTGTCCATCTCAGCCACTTCCTTTTTTTTCCTTCAAATAAAAAAAAATTTGTTTTTTTTTTTTGAAATTGCTAAACTTTAACGATTAGTTAGAGTAATAGTACATTTGTGGATCTTTTTAAATTCATCCCACTAACTTTAATGTTCATTTTTTATCGCTATAAAGAATAACAAAATTTTATTAAGGTGTCAAAACGACGATAACTTTAATGATAATGATAAAGTAAGACAAATAAAGAAACCATATGCAAATTTTAACTACAGATTTCGGTTATTAATATTTGGTTCGTGCTAAAATGCCGTAGGAATTAAAATGAGGAATTTTAAATAATAGCTATTAATCGAAATAGTAGTGCTTTTTTATCTTTTTTTTGTACTTCATTTTTTCATTTTCGGCTAAATAACATTTCATCGATTCTTAGTCTTCGACTAAGGACAAGGCTACAGAAGACCTACACATTTAATGAACTGACAATAAAGTACATTTATAGCAATAAAGTAATCATGATATCTGCAGAATAATGGTTTCTTGGTTTTGGCTTTGGCATCGATTGCAAGCTTTCTTGCATTGAATGTACCTCTGTATTACAGTACTACTTCTTCAACTCTTGGGATACGGTAAAGCCAGTGGAGAGTTACCGTCACTTCTTCCAGGGAAGTGTTACAGTTGCTCATCGGAAAATATCCTTAAACGCTGGGTTAGAATTATCTTTTAATACTAATCTTTTTATTCTTTTCTCTTTTTTTTTTGGACAAAAGTTGATATAAACTTTGCGATAAAATGTTTATTAAATTCTCTGACGAATTCAAAGAAATGAAATAATTCTTGTATACATGAAAGTTTAAATTTAAAGCTAAGATATGTTTTAAATCTATGAACCTTGACCTTCTTATTGAGAATTTTTTAAGCCACAAGATGATTCCAATCATATACACTATCTGCGGCAATTGCCTTATTTTGCAAATGAATCATGCGATACAGTTAAGAAATCATTACCGGTGGTATCGTGTCACCAAAGTGTATGTGTCAAACTTGTCATCCTTAATCCATCCTTTGGTCGTCAAATTTGCGGTACCAAATTTACTTACATAAAGTATAAAGTATCCAGTAACAATTGATAGGATTAAAAGCTAAATCAAACTATATTGATGATGTATTTTTTGACTGATTCATTTAATAAAAACTGATGTAAACTATGCAATCAAACATTTGTTAAATTCTCAAAAATATGAAATCCATCCGAGATTTCTCTGTGATAACTTACGTTTATGCACACGAATCCGTGAATAAAAAGACAAAATTTGATTTCCGAATTCACAAGATAACCGGCATATTTCACTTATTCTAAATTAAAATTCAATTTAAGTCAATCAGATAGACTTAATAAAAGAATTTGTGGTTATTATTTTGTGGTTTTTCAAGTGAAGTCAAAATAATTTCGCAAAATTTTACAAATCGAAAATAGCAATTTCTGGAAAGTTCAGTATTGACATATTGAACTTTTCCAGAAATTGCTATATGATAGCATCTGCAGAGCGTGGTCCAACAATAGTTCGTGATTGTTGGAGTCGAGCCATGTGGATGGATATGGATAAAAGTATGTTCAGGAGAATAATTCAGAAAGGTAGTACAAAGGTTAGCCATAATCATTTGAAAAGTATTCGTTAGTGAGGGAGAAAAAAACGACCGTATATTTTCTAATAGCTTTAAATAGAAATATATTTTTTTCCAATCATTATAAGTTGGAAAACACTCAATTACTTAAAATTGAAAAAGCTTTCCTCCGGTATTTAGCAGTGGAAGAAAAAATATAATATTTTCTTCCACTGCTAAATTTTTAAATATTTAACTAATATTAGAAGCAATATTTAGCCGTACATATAATTTCCTTTTTTTCTTTGATCAAATTTTAAGCGATGCTTCTGCACGATGCTTTTGAAAGTTATTTTTGAGAGAGTATTGAAGACATAAAAGGAAAAACAAAATATAAATTCTGTTATGTTTTACTGTAAGGTTAGTTTTTCGAATATTTAATTGTTGACAATTAAATATTCGAAAAATGAACCACAATGGAAAACTAAAAAATCAAGATTTTGAATTATAAAAAAAATTTAAAAGGTTTTATGAAATAGAAGTTAATAGAGTTGTCTGGTACATTAGCGTAATCTTCAATTCAGAATCACGTTACCAGCTATTTCGGTCATCTCATTAGAAGTTTTTGCAAAGTTGAATTTTAGAAAAAATAATTTTAATTATAAGCGATGGCTAAATTATCGTTTTCTGCACTAAGTAAGAAGTTAAAATGAGTGTAAAAATGATTGGTAATATCAATTCTTCCTCACTTATTGAAATATCATTCCCGAATTGATTATAGCAGTTAAAGTTTTGAAGGAGCTATTTTCAGATCCATTTAATGGATTTCAAAGTGAAACGTACGAAAGGTATTCTGTACGCTTGCAACGGATATCTTTGTAATGGTGTTGCTGTGAAAGTTCACGCTGTCGCGTTTGATATCATTGTATTATTTCTTCCATTCATTGTGATGCATGTGCAAATAAATGTCAAATAATATTTCCTATTTTTTTTAATTCATTTTATTTTATTTTTTCTTAGGAAAAAATTTGCTGAAGATTTTTAAAAAGTACGAAAATATTTTGGATGACATAATTTCTTGTCTATTATCGATCATAATCTCGAAATCTTTTCCTTTCTGTTTAATGGCAATTGTAAATTTCCTAGCTGATAACTAATTTAGTAAACTTGACATTAAGAGTGATATCATAATTAGGAAGGGCTAAATGTGAAATTTGAAAAAGTATTTGAGAAAAAATAATAAAGGACGAAAAATTATTTTACATTTTACAATTTATTTTATTTTTACAATTATTTTTTTTTTACATTATTATGATGGGAAGGAAAAAGACGAAAGTGGAAAAAAAAATTTTTGAAAGAATTTCGTCCCATTTATGCTCTTAAATTCATATCGACTTCTTCTTTCATAACAGTGTTAAAGTTGGAGTTAATTTTGAAATTAAGTTTCTAAATATTTGAAAATTCATAAATTTTGTTGCACCATTTATGTTCAGTATTTCTTAGAAATCAAATGATAGATGAATGTATCGGATCAAATGAGGGATGAATATGTATTTTTTTATATTAAAATTTCAACGCTGTTAACATTTCCTTTAATGATTGGCTATTTTTTACATGTAGTTCTGGGATGGAACACTTCTCAAAATGTTTTTATGCTCAAATTCAAATTACTAACAATAATAGAATATCAGTTAATGATTTATACACGAGTAACAGAAATCAGTGGAATTTGAAAATGAATAGTTTCAAAAATGCATAGTAACTTTAAAGATGCATTTTGTTGTATAAATTAAAAATGATATACAATAATCACTAAATTGATTGTTCTCAAAATTTTTGCAATTTAAAATGAAAAAGTTTTTAATTTTTACTTGAATTCTCCTATAATAAAATTCCAAATTAAATTCTCTGTTATAGTAAATCTATTCATATGGTACATTTCTTGGTAACGTAAATCGTTGTTCGTGGAATTGACCTTTAACCTCATCCTTGGAATCATCATAATTATATATTGGAGCATTCTGTCTCTTCCTGGAATCTATAGCTGAACGTTGGCTTTCTTGTTTACTTCCTCTTCCTTTATTTTTATCATTAAATGGTTGGGGAAAAGATAGGTGAATGGGATTAGCTGGTGGTTGATTCTTAGCACCGAATGGAAAAGCAGGCTGTATCGGCAAGCTGGATAACCATTCTTCGAAAGTCGGGATTTGTCCCGCGGAAAAGATCGGTACATTAACCCTTCCTTGTTTTTCTTCACTATTCTTCTGTAACCGCGACATCTCATCGTCATTCTTATTCATTTTCGAACGATCATCATTACCATCATCATCACTATCACCACCAATAATATTATCATTATCGCCATCATCAGCAACACCGTTATTATCATCACCATCAACAATATCATCATTGTCATAATCATTATTATTATCATTATTATTATCATTATTATCATTATCATTATCATTATCATTATCATTATCATTATTATTATTACTATCATTATTATTATTATGATCATCATCATCATCATCATCATCATTCTTCTCATTAGAAAAATCTCTGAAGTTTCCTTCCTTATTTCTATTATTTTCTTCTTTACTACTACTCTTCACTTCAGTTGACTTATCTTGTGACCATCCTTCATCGTCATCATTCCCATCGCCCTCAAGGAATTCTACGTCTTTAGGCGATTCCTCATGTTCATCATTATCATTTACGTTTCCAGAATCTTGTTCAGAATTCAATTTCTCGCTCATCTCATGTTTTTGCCCATCGGTAGATTGTATTTTCGAAAAATTTTCCAGATTTTTAAGATTCAAGTCATCATCATTTTGTTCTGTTTTATCCTTGTCCTCGTCTTCATCAAATTCAGACGAGTCAACGTTCAGCATCATCGTTTGCGGTATAGTAACGACATCGGACGTTGCTACCGACATTGAATTCTGTGAATCTGCAGAAGTGGTGGTAACGTGATTATTCGATAACTCTTTTGCTCTTTCACGTCCATTGGATTCTGAAGTCTGAATATTAATTATAGATCGATTCGTGTCAATATTGCTTGATTGATTAAGTTTCGTTACTGGTAATGATCTTGCCGGAGATATCTCTATTTCTGATCGTTCAGTAATAATCTGATCATTAGTATAATTCATTTGAAGGAAAAAAGGAATCTTTTGTCCCGCCTTTCCCATTCCATCTCTCAATTGAGGGATTGAAGTCGAATTTCTCACCATTTCGTCATTGAAGTTTTTCATCGATGGATTTCTAAGCTGAGGCTTTTCCGGACTCTCTCTCTCATCTATCGATGATGTACTTCCAACATTATCGGTCGCTACGGTTGACTGAAATACCGGAACCGGATCATCATCTGTTCTATCTTGGGAAGCTAATTTTACTTTTGTTGTGCTGTGAATATTTTCCTGCAAAGCTGAAAGATTACGTTCAATCGGACTCACAGAAGTAATAGTATCAGAATCCGATTTACTTATAAGAATCTTTTCTTCCTTCCGTTTCTCGGCTTTCATTTCGCTTTCCACAATTGGCCATAAAAAGCCATTAAAATTGTCCAGTTCGACGGTAATTTTAGTTGTAGCGTCGGTGCTGATGGAATCTTCCTGCTCCTCGAGAAAGCTGCTTTCGCTTCGAGTAAAATTGCTGTGCAGAATTGATTCATCCCTCAATGGCTCGTCATCAATGTTAGTCTTCAGAATATCCGCTTCAGTAGTCATCGTATCCCTTTCATTACTCTTTTCATTAATATCGTAATCCCTGATCATACTCATATTATAACCGGGACGATATTTTAAATAAATATCCGAAGATACTTCAGAATCTCGTGATTTCAATTTTCGTTTATCATCTTTCTGATTTCGATTGTTTAAATATACTGTTGGTATATAACCTGCTATTAGTTGCATATTATAACCAACAAGCTTAGCACCAGCTGGTATTTTCCAGTCTTTCGTTTGCGCCTTCTTTGATGATTCGGATGATAATCGCTTTTTGAAAGGTAATTCTGAAATGTTATCATTTTTCTTTTGCTTGTTGCCATAATGATTTTTCCTATTATCAATTGATTTAGGATTTATAAGCATTCTATCAGTATCTGATCGATTTTCTAGTATGCCATAAACTGGTGGTGGTAATGAATCCGCAGTCTGATATGGTGTTAGAGGACTGAACTGTGGTTCTGCACCAATCTCAGTATCTGAAAATAAGCATTATTAAGCGTGATAGCAAAGAGCATGCAAAACATGAATTAAATTTTAGCTATGCATTCAATTCTACTTTCTCGAATTCCTAAATTAGCAGACTCAATATTTATTAAAATTATGGTTTTAAAAGGATAGTAATTTTTTGCTAGGCGGTGAAATCAATCATTTTTTCGAAATAACCATCGGCAAAACTGAAAATTACAATAATGAATGGACTTAATTGATTAAATATCATGCATTATCTAACAGATTCAAATATAAAATCCAATCAATGCAACAGATTTAACAACTTAAAAAACTAAAGTATTTGAAAATCAACTCACTGGAAATGTATTTGATGAAAGTGCCAATTAAGATGAGTGTATAATAAGTTGGCAGCATATACTTTTTATAGATGGAAAAATATACAACACAAATAATCTAACTGAGAAGATATTTTATATATAATGAATAAGAAATATATACCACTGATATTCTTGGAATGAGGACAATTGCGCGAGGTGGAAAATCGAATAGGAGAAAAGATTGGATGATTTGCTTTTTAATAAATAGGACGCATCATCGAATGGGAGGAGAGTTATTTTTGATGAGGAAGCTGGAAATTTTCCTCCCCTTCATATCATCGCTGTTATTTCTTATGGCCAATAAGCTTACTTTCATGAAACTATTCATTATTTAATTACTTTATACAA